GTGAGTTTTGGCCATTTTCAAATGGCCATATATCCTAGCTCAGGATAATTTAGGATTAGCTCTTGACATGGTTGGAAATCCCTTGGAGAGATCTTTCCAACGCCGCCAAGTTTGCGCGATTTCGACATCATATGAGTGAGTTATGTCCTTTGGAAGTTGGGCTGTTGGAATACAGAATTGTTTAATCCGGATTTTAGAAGGGCGATTCAGTCTTTTTCTTACCTAATTACTCTAATTTGTTTTTAGGAGATTAATTGGGGTAAACACCAGATTTTATTCAGCTAAGAAAATTAGAATACACTTTGGGATTGGAGAAAAGAGAAAAGAAGAAAGAAAGGGAGAAAAGCCAAGATTTCGCCAAGAACGTCAAGCGTTTGGAGTGGAATTGGTCGGGGGTGATCCCTATTAAGGTATGTGAGATCTTTTTGTGTTGGGTTAGGTAACCCACACACCAACTTGTTTCAATTCAGTGATTTGGAGTTGTTTACATGTTAAGAAGTGACGTTCTTGAAGAACATTGTTGAATTCTTGTTGGTTGATTGTTGAATGCCTAGTATTAATTTGATTCATGTTTCCGGGTTGTTTTACAAGTTAAATCTATTGGGTATAGAGGGTATAAATTATTCTAAGTGTTTGGGAAAAGAACCATTGGGGTTTATAAGATTTAGAGTTGAAAATCGGAGAAGAAAAATCGTCAGAACCAGGGGAAGGGGGGTGGGGAGCCGCGCCAACCAGCGCGCCCCAAAAGGGACTCTGAAGTCCTCCCCTTGGGGCGACGCGCCAGCCAGCGCGCCCCAGCAGTCTCTCTGACGTTTGAGGGCTGGCACCCCGCGCCTCTCAGAGTGCCAGGGACGCCAATTCTCCCCATTTTCCCCCCGCTTTCTCGTACTTGTTCCTAAGTGATGTACCTATGTTTCCTAGTCAATTCCAACACTCTAAAGTACATCTAAACATTATGAAATCATCCATAAACATGAGATCATGAACCTTGAATCCATAACTAAATTCAAGGAAAGTTAAGTTCAAAGTAAAAGAAGTTAAGAGTCAAGTTTAGAAGTTAATAAAGCAGGTCAAAGCAAAGCAAAGTTTCGTAAAGTTTTCAAGGGTCTTTAACAATGTTTTAACGTCGTTTTAAGACTTAAGTTTTGAAGTTAAGCAAGAGTAAAGTTATGGTTTGAAGTTCTTTTCTTCAAATAGTTATATGGGGACTATGTATTCCCAAGAAGTTTAAACGAAATGTTTTCACATTTAAATAAGATTGGAAACTGAGATTTCCAAAGAGCCTTCGGACTAGTTTTCAAAAAAGAGTAATCGCTTTCTAAATGAAGCAAGAAGGGAAACTTTGATTTCCAAGATAGCCTTTAAGCTAAGATCTTTTGAGCACTAATCTCAAATCACAGAGGAAATATGTTTTAAAACCATAAGAGCCAGTACATTTTTGGGAGTAGTATTGAGCACCGAATTGGGGGAGCGTTCAAAGAACCCACAACCCCCATAGAACCATGTAGCCATCATGGATAGAAGAGGTTCATACTTTTCAGATGAATCCTTTCCAATTTAGACTAGTGGATCCATTAGGCAGTTCAGGTTCTATACCTTTGGCCGGGTATGGATGCTCTGGCAGCGTGAGTTTTATCGCTGTATTATCACTGTAGTCTTATGTGATGGTTGACGGTTAGAGAAACTCCCACAACAGTTATTGTATTTTTATATATATATCAGATCTTTTGTATTTTTACATACATCTCATATTTATTGTATCTTTGCATACACACAGAGTTTATAGCATGTTTTTAAATAGCTTTTCTTTATATTGCACTTGTTTTAAATTGTCTTATATTGAAATGAGTTAGTCAAGTTGAGTTGAGCCAGGTAAGTATCCAGTTTCTTTCAGATTCCTTCTACCCTATGTATTGCTTAGCATTCCAACTCGCATACTCGTATATTCAATGTACTAATGTCAGTTGGCCTGCATCTTATTATGATGCAGAAGTAGGTAACCAGGATCAACATCTAGCACCTCGTTGATCCATTTGAGCAGCTCAGAGTTAATGGTGAGCCTCTTTGCATTCCGGAGGACTCTTTTATTTTCTTTCGATCTTTCATTTATTAGGATGTTGTGGGGTTTGTCCCAACATCCGTCTCAGTATTTTAGAGGCTTCATAGACAGTCAGATAATTATTAGTGCAGATGTTTTCTTTATCCTTCAGATGTTGTTTAATGACTTAAGTGCCATTTTGGCCAGTTTATTATTCTTTAAGTTGTTATATGAGACTGTGTATTTGAGTTAAGTCTTCCGCTGAGTTAAGTATGCCAGACTAAGGGTTTGCTTGGGGCCAGCAATGGTCTCCGAGTGCCAGCCACATCTAGGGTGTAGGCTCGGGGTGTGATACTTCCGATGCCAAACCCGCAAACAAACCCCTCACAGTAAGCATCTGCATCAAACTGCTAGTCACCACAAATGTATGCCCCAGAGGTAGATGAGGTTGGACAAAAGGTCCGTCAGATTCAACAGCATTAAAGTTGACCCTATAGTTATCATGCAGTCTTGACCCTGGTTGATCATGTACCCTCACTGCATCTCTCAATATTCTCAGCTTGAATCTGATTATTCTCATCACAAACCCTCGGAGGCTGCAACCCAACACCGTCACCTAACTCTCATCCGATAGGATTAACTAGCACTCCTTGATTATTCATTCTCTGCAAAGTTCTGTTCAGTTCTGGATCGTAGGGAGTATGTGGTTCTCCTTGACTCCGTGTACTTGGCATACACTAGAGTAGGAACCTGAGAGAGACAAAAACAAAAGAAAAATGTAAAATTAGGAAATATTTGAGTAAAGTTCAATAACGTAGTTAAACTTAATCTAAAAGCCAAAATTCCCTGACAGTGGCGCCAAAATTTGATACGCTCAAATTACACCTCCATAAAGAAGCATAAGCGATCGTTATCAAGCAAAGAACCCAACTTGTAGGTTGGGGTTGATCCCACGAGGAATATGGTTTAGACTTAACTTCAACCAATGATTATATTTTTTTAGTCAATGTATTTCCAAAAATAAGTAATTAAAGGGGGGGGGGGGGGATTTGTGAAACAAATTATGGAAATAATGTGAATAATCAGTGAACAAGATTCAAACTTTAGGTGTTATCAAGATGAGAGAGAAACTAGGGTGTATGTGTTCCCCATAAGCTCATAACGCTGTAATCCTAATAATAGTAATATTTTCCTAGTGTATTACATCTAAAGTGATAAGTTAGGTATCTCTAATTCCTTGGTCCGGCAACTAGAGAATTTCACCCTGAACCTTGGTCCGGCTACGTGTGTATAATTTACTGACCCTTACCTTTACCTCATATTAGACATCACATCGATGTATGACTTAGTTTTCACCCTCGCACCAATTGACATTAGACTATTAGATAGTATCACACTAAATCTATATTGATAATTCTTTTCTCATTAACTACCTCCTTGGATCGGCAAGTAGAAACAAGGCGAGTTCTAATGCGTGCACTCATTAAAAAGACTTCTAAACGAAATAATTATCAATGCATTCAATAACACTATTCAAGAATTACTTAGTTACTATTCATACTTCGTTATTCACTTATGGTTCCCACAACCCTAGTTGTGGATTTAGTTACTCATAGTAGCAAGAACATAATTAATATTTTTAGATGAAGAAATCATGAACTTACGCAATGAGAAGAAGAAACCCAGAATCTCAACTTGAAATGCAAAGTCAAAATCTTCAAAACAAACTTAGGAAATTAAGAATTGCTAAAGTTGCAAGTTAATCACCCAAGCCAAAAACTAGAACTAAAATAATAATGTCTAACCCCCAAATACGAGGTTTACATGCCCTATATATAGAAAAATAAGTCCTACCTAAAAAGGAAATGAAATAAGGAAATAATGTTTCAGGATGCATCTTCGATCTACGACACTAACCTACGATTCGTAGGTCCCTTCCGTGACTCAAGACCTAGGCACATTTTCAGCTTCCAAAACATCATCTTTGAAACAAACGACGGATCAACAGTACAAACTGTAGTTTGATCCACGGTTCGTAGATCCTCCTCCGTAGCTCCACACTTAAAATCTTCAAAATCAGGTACTAGAACCCCTTCTCTGAATCATTTGATGGAGCAACAGTACGGTCTGTAGATCAATCTACGGTCCGTCGATTGCAACCGTGGTTCCACACTTGGTCAAGAATTCCCTGATCTTCTTTAATGCCTTGCCTGCCCATCTACGACACCCATCTACGGAGCGTGAATGGACCTATGGTCCGTGGATCACCTTCGTAGATGCCCTTTTTTGTACATCCTTCAGTTGTGTCTCTCAATTACCACGTCTGAACATATCTCCTGCAAACATGATAAAAATACATAAAACCTACTACAAAATGGCCCTAGACACACACAACTCTTAAGTGAAATGTATTAAAAATACCGTAAACTCACGGTATATCAGCAGATTTCTTCCGATTAGTCAGTTTCAAGTTGTTCTGTTCCTTTATCTTAAGGTGCCCGCAAGGGTTTTCACCGGTAAGATGTTCTCCCTTGTCGCCTTATGGTGCCTGTAAATGTTTTTACCAATAAGATTCTCTTCTTCTTCTTTTTTGGCCACAAGGGTTTTCACTCATAAGTCCCCTTTTTTTCATGATTCACAATGTTGTCTATAATGATCAATTTTCCATGCAAGATACATTGAATCTATTCTCCTTAGAATTGGTCTAGAAGTCGATAGAATCACATCACAATTTTGTCACTATTCTATCAAAATAAAAAAAATATGCCCTAGTTTCATATGAATACTGGAATATTGATTTTTTAATGGTATGACCGAACCCGAAAGGGTTGTCTACGTATCCTTTCGAAATCAGGTAAAATGTAGTTCAAGTTGTCAAAGAGAGGATTTTTAGTTTTTTCCTATTTTTTTAAGGCGCCTTGGTTCGCCCAACCATAAACTTGTCACAGTATCTTAGAACGCATTAGATGTAATATCTTTTGACTTCATCCGCATTAAAAATTATGCCTGTGATTTTTTCCTCCACATCAGTAAAGTGCAAGGCTCCTTTGGAAAACACTTCCTTGATAAGGTATGGACCTTGCCAATTTGGGGAAAACTTTCCCTTGGCTTCTTCTTGGAGTGGGAGAATACGTTTTAAGACCAGTTGACCTACTTCAAAATATCTTGGGTGCACCTTTTTGTTATATGCACGAGCCATCCTTTGTTGATAAAGTTGACCAAAACAGACGACCGTCAAACATTTCTCATCTATTAATGTGAGCTGCTCTAGTCTGGTTTTGACCCATTCAGTATCCTCAATTTCAAACTCAACAATAATTTGAAGAGATGGGATTTCGACTCCTGTGGGTATCACAGCCTCAGTCACATACACCAGAAAATAAGGAGTTGCACCAATCGAAGTGCGCAATGTTGTGTGATATCCCAAAAGTGCAAAAAATTGCTTCTCATGCCATTTTCTGGTGCCTTGAACCATCCTCTTCAGAATCTTTTTGATATTCTTGTTGGCAGCCTCCACAGCCTCGTTGGCTTTTGGTCGGTATGGAGTAGAATTGTGGTGCACAATTTTGAACTGCTCACATACTTGTTTCATCAAATTGCTATTAAGGTTTGCAGAATTATCTGTTATGATAGCTCTTGGGATACCAAATCGACAAATGATGTTCGAATGGAAAAAATCCACGACTGCCTTTTTAGTGACTGCTTCGAAAGTGATCGCCTCTACCCATTTGGTAAAGTAGTTGATGAGTCCTCAAATTGGACTCATTTAGGGCTTTATTTTGATAAGAATAGTATACTCGAATCCTTATTTTGTCTAAATATCTTATGAAAACTCTTAAGTTTCAGGTATTTGAAGTTTTAGCGAAAGCATGGACATTTAGGTGCAAAAAGGAAAAAAGGCTGAAAAGAACGAAGAAGCTGAAGCCCGAGCATCTCCAAACACACTTGGCGATTCGCCGAAGAGATTTCCTCCGCCCTTTGTTCCAGTACGCGAAGCCCTGAAGGAGAAGGATAAAAAAGGTGATGAAAGGAGCAGTCAGCGCTTTGCCAAATAGTTTCGTGAAGCAATACTATACCACCTAATGGTCCATAATGTGAAGATGTTGAAGGCAAGCATGAAACGGCGATGAGACAGCCGAAGGGCGAATCGCCAAAGTCATTCGGCGATATCGACTAACTTCACCGAAAGATCCGCCAGTGCTATTTTCTGAAGTCTGTAAATACTGAACTTATTATTAATTTTAGAGAGTCGAACATTTATTTTAATTTCCAAAATAGAATAGTACTTTTTGGATATTTTTCTCTCAAGTTTGGAGAGGGTTTTGTGGGATACTTGAAGAGAGAAGGATTTCTTCTTCCCCAAATTGGAAGTGAGTCTTCTCCATTCTTCTTCCTTTGCTTAAATCAAGGTTTAATTTATTATACCCATTTGATTTTACTATCATTTTAGGTGTACTTTTTTATTTCTTAATGTGTGACTAAAAACCCTATTCTTGGGGTGTGATTTAGCAAATATGTGTTGACATTATTGTTGGGTCTTGCTTGCTGATAGGTAAGATGTAGTTTATTGGTAATTTCACCTAGTGGTTGTGGTTTAATCTAAAGGGTTTGTAGTTGCAAATACAAAGCTACCCATGTGTTTTCGGCTTGCCGAGAGGGAGGTCGCGAAACCAAGACCACTAGACTGATGGCCTAAGGAGTAGGTCGACATGAGGTTCAGCCCGAGAGGGTGATTCCTAGTCCCATATCCTAACACTCAACTCGAGAGAGTGAGTGGGGTAAGGCGTAGGCTGGTCTTCATGCGGCGAATGGGTGTTCGAGAGGAACGCATTTGAATCGGGGTAATGTCACGACCCAAGCCTAGGGCCTAGACGTGACATGGCGAATGAGAAACCCGAAGGAACCCCAAACAAGCCTCTTAAACTTGTCATCACACTTCATCGGTCGCGGAAGTACATTCAATATTAATTAACGGGAAATAGGGACTAAGGGCAAACCATTTCAAAACGACATCATAGAATAAGAGTCAAGCTCATTTACAAAATACTTGTCCAACGCACACCTCTACATACATAGATAGGACGGGGCCATGACATTCTACCGGCTCCCCTCATAGTCAAAATACAATTGCAAGCTAAAGTCTCAAAACATAGGAGTAGGAAACATAACATAGCCCTCGAATCATTGAGGACTCACCAATAACTCGGATAAGCACCGTACTAGCCACGCGAATGGAGAGAAGGATCAAGAGTAGCTCCGGTCCCTACATGGTGACATCATGTAGGCAAAATATGCGTTAGTACTTGGAATGTACTAAGTATGCGGGGTGCAACACAACAATAAACAAGGACACAATCGAAATACAAGAAATAGTTTCATAGGCATTATGAATAACAATATGAGGATGCATGATCAAAGTGAAGTCAAAACATGTTTAAGTAAATCTATACTAATAGTAGATATCATATGTGTATGCATGATCCAACCAATCTATAACCCCAACTTAGGATGGGGGATGCCGTTCACACCCGGACACCCTGGTGGCAAGGTATAAACCCCTCACATGGTTGATGTTGGTCACACCCCAAGCATCCTAGGTGGTGAGATATAAACCTCTCACATGGTTGATGTTGGTCACACCCCAAGCATCCTAGGTGGTGAGATATAAACCTCTCACATGGTTGATGTTGGTCACACCCCAAGCATCCTAGGTGGTGAGATATAAACCTCTCACATGGTTGATGTTGGTCACACCCCAAGCATCCTAGGTGGTGAGATATAAACCTCTCACATGGTTGATGTTGGTCACACCCCAAGCATCCTAGGTGGTGAGATATAAACCTCTCACATGGTTGATGTTGGTCACACCCCAAGCATCCTAGGTGGTGAGATATAAACCTCTCACATGGTTGATGTTGGTCACACCCCAAGCATCCTAGGTGGTGAGATATAAACCTCTCACATGGTTGATGTTGGTCACACCCCAAGCATCCTAGGTGGTGAGATATAAACCTCTCACATGGTTGATGTTGGTCACACCCCAAGCATCCTAGGTGGTGAGATATAAACCTCTCACATGGTTGATGTTGGTCACACCCCAAGCATCCTAGGTGGTGAGATATAAACCTCTCACATGGTTGATGTTGGTCACACCCCAAGCATCCTAGGTGGTGAGATATAAACCTCTCACATGGTTGATGTTGGTCACACCCCAAGCATCCTAGGTGGTGAGATATAAACCTCTCACATGGTTGATGTTGGTCACACCCCAAGCATCCTAGGTGGTGAGATATAAACCTCTCACATGGTTGATTTTGGTCACACCCCAAGCATCCTAGGTGGTGAGATATAAACCTCTCACATGGTTGTCCGGTTCTTTTCCCCCGGACCGGGCATGGTCATGAAACACTTTATATAGGAAATTCCCATTAGGCTCTAATGCAATCTCACGTATGGAATGAACATATACACAAGCTTAGTTTGTCATCAACACATCTCTGGATTTCCATACATCTCATAACTCAAGCTTTAAAGCATCGATTCATCAATTCTCCATAGTTGGACATTTTGTCAAACACCTTGAAGGCATGTAATGGAATCAAAGAGCATGGAAAATAGGGTAGTAATTATGCAGCCAAACCAGTGAACAACCTACAACAACACCTTTTTAACACCCACAATACCACATGAAAATCTCCACATCCATTCCAAATTTAGGTTCAAGTTCTAGGGTCACAACATGCTCAAAACAATCACTTTTCATGTTTAAAATTCAATGTGCAGGAAATTATTACAAAGAACAAGACTAATTTATGAATCTTAACTTAAACCATGAATTAGTGAGTAGAATAGAGTCTAGGCACTATGGGTGGAAGGACCCATGAGTTCAACACCACATACCTTGAGTTTTTATGAAGGTCTTGAGAGTGTCTTCAATGGAAGCTTGGAACTTGGAGCAAGAGTCTCTTCAATCTTGAGGAAGGTTTTGGATTAGGGTTCTTGAGAGAACTTGAGAGAAAATGTGTCTAAGTATGGGAGAGGTGTTTTGGGAAATGTTTTAGAGATGGGAATTGAACTAATGGTATATAGGAAATAACATATGCCCTTTGGAAAAATGGTCCAACACTTAGAAAAAAAAATGAGGCGGGTGAACAGTAAAAACGCTCACTGGAAATTGCCTTTCCTGCCGGACAGATTTTACGAAAATGGGCATAACTTCTTCGTCCGAACTCCGAATGAGGTGAAACGAAGTGCGTTAGGTAGCTAACTCAAAGGGCTTTCCATGGATATGTTATTGGCCACCCAATAATTTGTGTGCTAGGAGATATGACCCTCCAAAGTAGACCCTCGAAAAAGGCTATTTTTCTATCGTTTCTCAAAACCACTCCTTGGGACACAACCCCAACCTTTAGTTGGGTTACTATACTGTCGACGATCGTAGATACTCATACCGTAGGTTAGTGTCGCTGGTCACAATAAGCATCAAAATGGCGCCGCTGTCGGGGTGTGATGTTATTTGAGAATTTTTAGATTAGTAGAATTTTTGTTCTTCTTAGTTGTAATTTACTAACTTAATTTTTAGTTTTGTTTTGATTGATTGTGTGAACATATCAGAAAGTATGAGTGTTAACGGTAGTAACGGGACCCAGGTGGGCCATCAAGACGACGTCGACAACCTCAACGATGTTCAAGAACCCAACATCAATGATCCACATCTCATGGGAGGTGTTGGGGCCATCCGTCTACCTCCAGTAGAGGGAAACGCGGTGTTCCACATAACGAGCACCATGTTGCAACTCTTACAATTGAAGGGACTTTTCAGTGGATTAGCACATGAAGACCCACATGAGCATCTTCGAAACTTCGTAGATGTGTGTGGACTATTCTCGTTCAAAAACATCTCGGAGGAGTCGGTTTGATTAAGGCTATTCCCTTTCTCATTGATGGGGGAGACGTGCAAGTAGCTAGCTGAGTTACCACGTAACTCGATCACTTCGTGGGAGGAGTTGGTCACTGTATTCAACGTGTGATTTTTCTCTCCCTCGAAGATGATGACTATTCGAGATAGCATCCAAAGCTTCAAGCGTTTGAATGGAGAACCTCTGCATGAAACATGGCTCCAGTTTTAAAAATTGGTGCTACAATGCCCAACCCATGGTCTACCTGATAATGTTCTTCTTCAATACTTTTATAGGAGTCTCGACTCGGTAAACAAAGGTGTAGTTGACCAACTCTCGCCTGGAGGATTGATGCAGCAACCATATGCAGTAGCAGCTCAACTTCTTGATGGCATGACAACCATCAACAAGGCGTAGTACACTCGCGAAGACCAAGTCTCACCGGTCACCTTTCAGTTAGAGATGAAAGCTGGAAGGATCGAGATCGTGAATGGAGGGACCGTAATCCAAATTGGAAGGATGGGGAGAAAGATAGATATGTGCCTCCCCACGAGCGTCAGAAGCCCAAGGATTCGGAAGGTGGTAGGTCTGAGGATATGCTCTCGCGTATTCTAAACAAAGTTGAAGGGTCAGACAAAATGCTAAGAGGTATGAAAGAAGACGTGTCTACCCTCAGCCAGACTGTCACCTCTCA